GTGAATCCACACTTCCGACTGCCCAATGCAAGAGACCAACATGCTAGTTGCCACTTTTTGAAGCAGACTCTGACTGTCTGGACCAACAACCCGGGTCGTCCTGTACTAGCACACCGAGGTCACGTTCGTGCGAGTTTGTCTGCCAATCGTGCACTCTAAATTTGTTCATGTAGGCGTGTCGATGGCGGATGTGAACAACGCGACACTTGTCCACATTCAGTAGCAGTACCTTCCTCATCGAGATCGCGCTGGATGATCTCGTGGTCGTCCATTCGCTTAATCGCCCTCCAGAGCTTAACGTCATCCGCGAAGAGTAGAAATTTTTGGCTCCAACTCTCGCTAGATCGTTACTGAAAACTAAGAACAGGTGGGACCCAAGTACCGAACCCTAGTTTACACAGCACTCCACTCGAATCAAGTCGAATAGAGATGTTCGGACTCTAACCTCCAGTTGCCGTTTGCGAAGAAGATTACTGATGGATCCTAATACCTGACCTCCGTTGACGTGTGGCTGAAGTTTGTGCAGCAGAATTCAACGATTTAAGTGATTGAAGGCTTTCGAAAAGTCCATCACCACTTCCTGTCTCTTCGTCGACTGTTTCGGTCCAATTGTCATGTGCTATCAGCAGCTTCGTCGCACATAATCAATGTTGGCGAAACCCGTGCTGCTCCAGCACAATGATGCCGTAGCTTTCCAGGTAGCCCATCAGTACTTCCGCGATGATCACTTCCATGACTTTGGCGAACACAGGGTGAAGCGTTACCGGACGGTAATGGGCAGGATCAGACCGACTTCTTCCTTTGTGAATGCGTTTATAATGCCCCATTCCCACATTGACGGAACTATGTTTTCGTCTAGACAACGCTGAAATAATCCGGCAAGTGGTTGGACTATTTATATCGCTGCTGTCTGCAGTGCTTTAGGGTGCATGTTATCCACTTCAGCAAAGTTATGTGTACGCAAGGATAGTAGATTTTTCAGCACCGTTTCTGCTGTGCATGTAATGCTGGATAAAACTGATGGTGTGTTGCCAGAAGTAACGTTTAAGGCTTGGACCCCTTGGAAAGTAGGCAAGTACTAGGCCCGTGACGCATTGGCTACCACTTTTGCTTTGTGTGTGTATATGTGTATACCCACTAATCGCAGTGCGTGGTGATATTCCGCGTTGCACCTTTCCAACTCCATTCACGTGCCTATAAAGAGGCCTGTGGTTCTAACTGAATCATTTCACTAGCTCTTGTTGGTGTGAAAACTTGTCTTCACGAATCAGGTGCACAGAACAATTGCGCTGAGCTGCGTACGCGTCCAATTTTCTGAGCTGAGGTTGTTTTGTAAAGATGCAATGTCCGATCCCTCGGGGCCATAAATTTTTGTTTTCGGCTTCTCAGGAAGGATTTCGATTTGACGGGCTGGTGCAAGGATTTTAGCTCCGAAGCTTTGTGGACTAGTGACGTGGAGGTTTTCAAACATGTTTCCCAGGCTCTCTTTGTGGTACATGCGGTCATGGATGTCCAACTGATGTTTTCAGCGAGTGCTGATAAAACGTGATAATACGCAATAGCTAACATCTTATCGGGTTCTGCTTCGGGATATTCGGCGTAGCAAATGTAATCGAATAGTAAAGTCACTTAATGACTTTGACTCAGTGGACTGCATGCATCTAATCCATCAACCATGAGCTCCTCCCTGGTGAGCACTAGATTTGAAATTGCTGGGTTTTGCCGTTCTGAACCTGTTGGGAGCGGTGACGCGGTTGTATAAGGGTGTGCTAGAGATTAGCTCTTGCAAATGGGCCCTGAACCGTTCCCCCTCGGTTATTGGAGTTTCCAGACCATATATGTTGAAATCTCCTGTAACGAGGATATGTGTGTACTTCTGATTTATCACAGATACAAAGTACGGATATTAGTCTTTGGTTCATCTTTAGAGTAGATTTGGGTTGTTGCTAAACCACGGAAACAAGGCATGTATGGTCGTGCGTTAACCACAGTTTGCACTAAAGGTGATTGAGGATACACCTTTGAGGATCATCTATGAGCTCACAACGAAGCTTTGTTTTGTACTAATTGGTCACTTCCCTCCGGTACCCTCACTGTCGTTCCGGAGGAGTGATAGAGCGATCTCAACTTCGGTACTTACACAGCTCAGCCACGTTTCAATGATCATTATGATATCTCGATGCTCGGAAGCCTGACGGTGACGGAGTTCGGCTAAGTAAGGAAGGTTCGGCTAGTAAGGAATTGTGCGTTAGTATACAAACAAATCAGCTTCTTATTAACCAAGAGTGAATCATTAAATGTTGTAATAAGATTGGGGATTGTCCCGACCGTTGAAGAGCCGGCCACTGACCGCTCTTTTGAGGTGTTGTTAGTCTTTGGCTCTTGGCTGTCCTGGCCTTGATGGTATCCCATGTATTCTTGTTCCGACGGATGCTTAGAGTGTCATTGCATCAATCTCCTCACAGATCTGTATGAGAGGAAGATTCACCAATTTGGTCGTCCCCATTGAGACGTCAGCCACCTGCGGCCGTTTACTATTTGCTTTTAATCGTGTTTCTGTAGGCAGTTTCTTGCTGAATTCAGACCAATATTTCAATATAAGCGGTGTCATTAACTCAGACGGAAATAACACCTTCATCAGCCGGAGGACCGTTTCCATTGTAGTTCGGTGACACTGAGATTCTTGTCACCCGCTTTGCAACAAAATTATCGTGGGACAGTTCCTGGCGGATGTAGCTTTCTTCCTTCCGGTTGTGTGTATCCACTTCTTTAGATGAGAATGTTTGAAGATCAGAAACCCCGTGAACAAGATCGTCCGTTGTTCGTCAGGTTTAGGATCTTCCTCACGGTTGCTATTCTCTTTCGGACCTTGATTCCAAGGCATGTCCGGAATTATGCGCACCTCATGTGATGAGTCACGGGGCCGAATCGAAGACCGTAGAACGCTCTCTGTGTCATCAGCGGGACTCAGTGTCACCCGGTGAGCTCCACCCAATCTTTGCCACCACTTTTAAACATATGCAGGAGTTCTGCGCACGTACAAGGTGGCAGCGGGCCGTTTGAGGTATACGGTATGCGCCAGTCGCGCTTTGTTGTTGCCTGCCGCCTTACCTTACCGAGGTCACATTGGGTTGGTTAACGTGAACTGGTTTCCTCTCTACACTTGAATACATTCATTGGGCGTGTAAACGCCATCAGCTGGCTCACCATCAAAACCAATGGGAACGAAATAAATCAAGCGGGAAACCTCTAGGCTTTACTTGGTTCAAATGCAGTCCCAGTGAGCTTTCCTTCAACCTTAATCGCGGTACCAATGGAAATAACATGTCACTATCCATCCATCCAATGTGTACCTCATATGAGTCAAAACTGCATCAGTACCCATCACGACGACCGTCACTCACAAACGTCTGTGTTGATGCCAGCCTATAACGGCTCTTCTCGGGATCAAGTCACAGTGTTGCTTTCTCTCTAACTGAAGAGTGTGTGTGCGTGTGTGGACTGGCACGATCTTAGCTTGCCGTCATATTGTACGTTGATGGAAACCCTCTTGTCAAACTCGTCTTAGTGCCTTCAAAGTTTATCCCCGACTTGGAATCATGCAGAACAGTGTCTTTTCTTACACCGATATCAACTGGATTATGACATTTTCGTCATCCTGTGTAGACTGCTGTTTCTACTTGTGACGGTTTGGGCTAAACGTTGTTATACCCTCATTTCCGGCTACTGGCTGTTTGTCGGAAACGAGTACCTTCCTCTTCAGCTAATCTGCTGCGATACACACTGTTTCCTCACATCTGCCTTTTGTTACTCACGGTGTCAAAATCAAAGACGACGTGAAGTGTTTGGAACTCATCACACCGTAAAGAACATTAGAAAGGGTATGATAACTGTTACAGTTTTCTATGTCGAAGCTGGTGTTGTTTGTAAATAGCCTTGTTCCGAAAGGAGCTGTTTGTAATTTATTGGATCCATTAGCACATTCAATATGGAACGCTCTACCTGATACTGGACCCGCTTGAATATTTGACTGGGAAATAGCCAGCAGACAATTACGCCCAGACCCATTCATCATGAAGTCTTTCCTTCGGACATCGAACAATCATAACACATGACACTTGATTTGTCAATTGATAACTTTTTCATCTACTTATCCTACTACATCTCAAGGAAATGTACTCTTCTTGTATATACGTCGCCTTTCTCTGAAATTCACAACCTCGGGACTTATGTTGAGTGTTGACAAATAATAGTTGCTCATAATATATGATGGGCATATTGATGTCATTCACATAAAATGGGAATAAAAATTGGCCTCGTTCACTTCGTAAGATAACGTCACTGGAGATTGAACCTAGGAATGAGCATTGTTCACTTTGTGTAACCATCTGAGGGCCTGGATAGCGAAATGAACTTGTCATTTCAGGCATCCTCCTCTATTACAAACGTGCAACCAATGTGGTCTTGAACAAAAAGATCACGCAAAGTAGATTGGTGGATAAACTGTGGCAAATTAGTGCGCTTCGCGCTGTCACGCAAATTCACCGTCACCATCAGTCGTTATTGAACGCAGTGTGGCGACCGCTGTCGATCGTTAACAGTGACTTCGAAGTGGTTGAGAATATGAGCTGTTTGATTACCCATTGCATCCTGAATGCTTCTTTGCGGTTGACCTAATAATTGCTAAGGCGACTTTGCTTCTTGATTGACCCCTTGCGATTGTCGTATATTTCAACTCCTTGGGATGGCGCCTTGGAACGTGTTCATCGATTCGGGCACACGAACTTCAATTAGTGCGCTTGACAGCAAGAGAATTCCTCTGTTTACTTGATTTGTTACGATCCCATTGCCCTGATTTAGGATATGCCATTTGATAGGGTCCTCAAATTCTTCACTTGATGCACCTTGAGTCGGTACAACGTCGGGTCACAAAGCGATAGACAGCATCGTTGCAATTTAATTTACTTTCCTCATAATTTCCAATTTTGCGATCATTCTAGAGTGTCGTGGCTTTGCCTGTAGCCGGTGAGACCGCTGATGACACTGACTGGTGCGCCGCACTGTCTCATTACATTCGAACTTCGGACGCTCTACTGCACACAGCGGTGCTTCGAATGTTGAATTATTTCACAACACATTTGGTACCGGTCCTTTCGGTGGAGGAGTATTTGGACGTCTTGAGTGAGTTCTTTATTCTAATACTCATAATGTTCGGCTCACCTTTTCCATTCTTATACTTAGAAACTACTACCCACGGCACTTCATTTTCGGTCCAGATATTGACCAGTGATGTACCAAATAATCCTGCTTCCCCAGATCCGCCTGGCTAATATCAATCTTTTATGACTTCTTAGCTGTTGAGTGAAAGTTGCGTCAGACTTTCACTTCAGTATTGGCGTCTGTGACATCGAAGTAATTCAGTTACAAGTTGATTACCTAAAATCTGGGGAAATATTGATATACGTGGGAAGCAATTATATTTTGGAAAACTGATGACACCTCGTCGGTATGATTCGGAATTCCTACACTTGCTAAATCCGATTTTCAAACGAACCAGTTGCCCTTTAAGCTCATTTGTGAATACAATATGTATCACACTGAGTTACACCTTATACCACCTGGATTTCAGAGGCACTTGGTCTGAACCTGGTTTACCATGTTCTTCAAGTCACTCTCACGGCAGCTCAACAATCTACCACTTCGATCTCATGAACGAGCCCGTCTTTCTCTTTCATTTGAGTCAATCACTAAGTTGGACAACGCTAGTGTAATCGGCTGTATAACTTTGATAAGATGGGTTCCGATGGACCACAGAGTTAAAATTGGAACTGTTTGGCATTGCTGAGTTGAGCAGATCACTTTTGCCGGTACTTGATATTGTGAGTCGATCCGGTAACATGGCTAGCAATGGTTACATCATCCTCTAAATGTTGCTACAAATACATTCTGGCACCTGACTAACACATAGAAACGTATATCGCAGATAAGTAAATGCGCAGTAGAAATAGATGGCGGTTGAACTGTTCGCTGAGCTTGGCAATTTTGTTGCAAACCTTTCGTCACCAATCGAGGTGACATCATCAGTGCGTAGTTGAATGGCATGCACTAGCGAAGAGTAGCGTAGAGGAGCCTCGTCAAACTACCCCGCGTTAGCTCGGTGAATTTGTATCACCTCGTTGATCAGATCGATTATGTAACTGTTGGAGGTGAGTACTACTAACATTTCCCCAACCCCGTTTGCACTGTTGGTCGAAATATACATTATTTTTCGTTTTGTCTATATAGTCAAACCGTTCATCGAATTTTTTCAGATCTTACCACAGAAGTGGACATCAGCGAGCTCACGGGAAGCTTGATGGGACTCAAGCCACCCTCTACTGGAGAAGGAGATGAGACTGCCGCATAAATTGGAACCTTAAGTCTTCACCCTTTCTTCTTTAGTGATTTTTTAGTTATTTTCTTAACTTATTTGTACGAACTAATAAAATATTTACTAAGCGCCACATCCCTTCGTGCGTTCTTTCACGATTGCTCTATTAACACTTTTTTGGATCGATCAACATCACCTCAATTTTCTAGGTAGCTATTGAGGTCACGAGTTCTTACTGGGCTTACACGTCGATATTTCACACAGTAAGTTGTTTTACTTGAATATCTAACCCATACTGTTGTGGGGCATAACAGTTTCCCGGTAAACGAAACCGCCTATTGCTTAGCCGTTCAACAAGCACCTCTTATATTTGTGCGGATGTCGCTGCGAAATGGTTCTCGCATGGCCTTACAAGGCGATGCCGTATTTGTTTTAATCTATCACACAGACACGAATCTAATTGAGTCCTGAATGAGCATGTTGTGTTGGTCCTCGTCGATTAGTCAACAAATGGTCACCTCCCTTTTGTTGGTTATCTGCTGCGAGTTTCACCACTTTACCTATCAGGAGGTACGTGTTGTTCTCTTAATTCGGTAACATTCCCTTGTTCTCATCTTGTTGCATCTCGTGTGATGGTGCTCAGTACATTTTTTGCGACAGAATTGACGAAATTTGTCTGAACTCGACAACCACTGTGGTCACACTCCTGTTTCTGTTGCTTGTTGTCTCACGCACTACGGGACTTTGATGTCCCGTTGCTGTCTGTCCTGGGCCTAGTGCTTACCCAACAAAGCGAATTTGTGCAACGGCTTTACGAGAATGCAAACAACCGTTCTTAGTGCTGACAGTGGTACTGTGATCTTAAAATTTCATGCGCACAATTTGATCATGAGTCCGGATAGAACTTGCGCTCGAGCAAATTCACACGGAGCCCCCCAACTCACAACACTTACAATGGTATCTGACCAACTTTAGCGGAATAATCGGCAATCGTATCACACGTGAATGAGTTTCGACGAACCCAGCTTGGACTACTATATATTCTGTGTTAGAACTGTGAACTGATCGCGATATATTCGTATCAACTACATCTTGGAATGTCCTACACCAAGTCTTATTGACATTCACTCGTCTTAAATAACATTGCGGTCCGGTAAGACAGGTTTTATGGTCTGTGCACTTTGAACAATCATGATAGTTGTGATGTTTCCTCTCGGTTGATGGGATGCCTGCAAATATTCGGATTCATGGTAGCGGCAATATACTGGTTGCTTTTATTTTGGAATTGGGAACTACTTCGAGATCCTTATCACCTCCTGTGTCATGGAAGAACTAGACGGACGCGAGTTGACTCGTTGCATCCAAGAGAGTACTGCAACTTCAATAATGATCCATAGATTAATCACGATCTTTTGTAAGTCTGCAAGTAATTTCTAATGTCCTACATAGTTTCAGACGCAGACGATCTTGTCTCATCAATCTGCTACTTGCTCAGAACTCATGGACCGATGAAGGAGTCCCCATAGATGTGATTTACTTAGACTTTTTTAAGGCATTCGACAGTGTCAATCACTTCTTTCTCCGAAATCCTGCTGCTTATGGTTCCCTACTCAGCTGATTGGAAACCTGCACGGCAGCACAATCAGGGTTAAAATAGCCGACACTCACCGCGAAAGTCTGCATGTTTCCAATGATGTACTGCACAAATCCGTTCTCGGCCCACTTCTGTTTATTCTACTTCAATGACCTCTCAGCAAACATTTTATCCCCCTGCAAATATTCGCAGATGATGCTAAAATATGGACAGCAATTCTCTCAGTGTCCGACCGTGCCTCTCTTGAGAACGATCTGGACCGGATTGACGAATGGTGGACACTGAACCCTGCAAAACGCCACCTGATGACGGTACGTAACAATTTCATCAACACATCTTTTTTGGAACAGCATGTTCTGCAATACGTGACTAATGAACGAGACAGATATTATCCTACAAAAAGTTTTGGAAATTCACCCCAATGTTCGAATGCAACAAAGGCGGCTAACTTGGACTTAAGAGTTTTCGAGGCGATCTCCCGGCACATTTCAGCGACGGCTAGTACCATTGCCGATTACATCGTATATCCGTCCCCGCGTTAAATATGCGGTTCAGGCCTGGCATCCATGGTTAAAACGAGATATCCGTCTTTCGAAGCAGACACGATGAGGTCACCAAAGCGATACATGAATTATTCGGTCTCAGTTACTAACTGCGACTTCGTTTATCCAGTGTGTTCTTCTCAGAATACCGATGGCTTCGCGGAGATCTCATTCTCACATACCGGATACTAACAGAACGGTCACCCATGTAATTCACTGCTGACCTTAACCCCTTACAATCAATGCTGAGGTCACCACCAAAAACTGGTTACGCAACACTTCTGTTTGGATTGTAAAAAGTAATTTTACTCTCTTAGAATCTGTTCCCACTGAAATACACTACCAACACATGTGCTGAACGCAACATGCATCGCTACCTTCGAAAGACTATTAGACTTCCATCTAAATGATAAACGCTAAACAACAGTGTGGTAAAGTGCGATGTAATCTACATTCTGGTTTTATTCAACGAAATCGACCAATCCCAAATACATAGCTTGCTTCAGCACCCGATCGCGTTTTGTATGCGTGTACGGTGGTATCCGCCAAGAGAGCACTTGGATCGTAGCTAGGCTTGGTTTTTCCCTTACCCTCCCTAGTTCTCTTAAACTCAACTTCGTCACTTAGCACGTGAAGCGAACAGCGATTCAATCTAACATACGTCGCCCTGTATTTCCACCCCGGTCAAGGTTATTTTCCATGCACTATATCCATCCTCCGACAACCAGTATACTCCGGATCGCGTTGCCTTACTTCACTTCGCCATTATACTAAAACTCAAGCAGATAAAGATGAATAATTCGAGATTTTGTGTGTTGAAGGTGGCTTACGTGACTCGGCTTTCAAACGTTTCGAGTTCCATTGTCGTCTTATTCACTGTTGGCTATTCTCGATTATCAGTCGCTGTTCATGCACGTTTCTGGCCTCAGTGTCCTATTACATACCCAATACCGTCTGCCTTGGTCACCACAAGCATGCTTTTTACCTCGAGGATCCCTATGGACAAACACCAGTCCGGCGTTGTCTGACCTCCATCCAAATATTTAAATTTTGTACTACTTATCTATAATTAGTAGTAAACATCCTAACCGTTTCGTGCGCTGTGTCGTTGCTCAGACTTCGTCCTCCGCGCAGCAACTAAACGACAGACCACTGATTATTGGTCACACCAACTCTTATCTGCTGATCCACACGCGCTGAATGTCGGTCCCCCTACTCAGATATTTTGGCTACCAAGATCTGAAAAGCAGCAGCACTTGTACGTACGATTTACGTTACCTCAGACGGTTTCCGATTGCACGCACTTGCCAATCGCTACATGGAACTGTTGTATTCTTTCGCTTGTGGAGTGAGATTCTGATGGCCTTTTTACCCCCCTGTCCTGTATATTGCACTGTCTAATACACTTGCTTATTGAACGTGCTATGGCGTACGCATTATGAGTAGAACCCATAACGACCAAGCGACTTACTTCTTTTGTGTGTTTTGGTGGTTAACTTTTGAATGTGTAACTCAATTCCTTTTAAATTAAATCCGAAGGGCTGACACCTGCAATAGGGAGCAGATATATGAAAATGAAGACAGGTGGTACCGCTAATGTTATGAGACGATGCCAAGTAGGGATCTACAATGGATGCAAACTGAATTATAGTAATCGATATTTGCATATTCTATATCCGGAATGCGAGGTGGTGTTTGCAGCTGAAAATAGGCGTTGGACGCGAATGGGTGACAGGTGCGGTCTATCTGTGCTATTGCTCAAATTTAACCCTATACAACCGCCTCGGTCTCCGAGGTACATATTTAGTGGCAGATAGACACAAGATATGTCTCTGCTTTTCTTTTTGTGTTCCAGTCTCTCGCGGTTTAATTGCCTGTACTGGATAGGTGCTTATCTTGATTAACTTACTATGTATCATAACTAGAAGGATTTGGTGAGATTCTTTTGATTCATCTCAACTAGATTACTAACCACTTAGCTCGACTACCAATCCGTAAAAGCACCAGACGATCGTTTGGCTCTACTGGAGCTCATCAGTGGTGCGCATTCCCTCGGTCCCTTTCTGGGGATCGAACCCATTACCGCTAGGGGCTTGCATCACTCGCTAGCAAATCATGCCACTGAGCAATGGACACCGATAGCTAACCATCACTGATTTGAATCTAACTGCGATATAGCCAGATGCATCCTCCACTGCCATGCACGTTCTTTCTCGTTCAGAGAACAGGGGTTGATCATCAGGTGTCAGGACTTCCATTGCCATTAGCCGTGAATACCCACAGCATTTTGTGGGCTGGTATGGCGTGGATTTTAATTACTTGTGAGTAGACGGATTTGGTAAAATATGTCTGGTTCATCGCAATTAGATTACAAGCCACTTAAGTCGATTACCAATCCGTAAAAGCACCAGACGACCGTTTCACTCTAATAGGGTTCATCATTGTTGCGCATACCCTCAGTCATTTTCCGAGGACCGAATTTCATAAATAGTTTGATGCGTTCTCTTTGGCTATCACACATTTAATGGTGTCGATTAGAACTGTCGGCAACTCATCTGGGTCGCACAACGTATGCGTGAAGGATAAGGTAGTAAAAGGGGCGAATTGGGACATTTGACAGCGTTCCACATTGTTATCCTTGCAACACAAACCAGACTACCGTGTCACAAGAAGGAAAATGAAACTAATATGTCCAATTGAAATGTGGCAACTATATATCCCCTCGCAAATATTCCATCACCTTCAAATCCATTCGACTAAATGCATCGCCGACCAAGAGCTCAGTCAAATCTTGAGGGCTCGATGTAGTAAACACAAAAACTCACACAACCATCTATACTAGTTGTGCACATAATACATTCAACATAAGCAAAAGATGCGCCTTGAATTTTGAGTCAAATGTATGATCTAAGGTTGCAACGACCCATAGTTGAGTGAATATGGATTGCAAGGTCTGGAACCTGTTTGTCTACCTGACACTCCTTCGACTAATGGACCA